TTTTGTCATTTAAAAAAATATATATAATATCAACTATTGTATTTACACATTATTGAAATCTCTTTGTAGACGAATTGGTAGTAGCAACACAATCTCGTCCATCTTCGTCTAGAGCTAACACCTTTAGTCCATCTGGATGGGTGACTCTTGTGAAAATATATAATGGTAGAATATTAGTCAGTGATCCTTTTATATTTTCAGTCAATTAGTAATATCATATTCATTTTCAGTCAATTATTCTTTTTTATTTTCAGTCAATTAGTCAATTAGAATATTAGATGAAGTGATATTTTTACCTAATTTTCGTTCCATTTTTAATTGATGATGTATAATATTTTTATTGAAATATTTTCGTTATATTTTTAATTTACCTTTATATTGTTTAAAATATGCATTTACTATTGATGATGTAGAATATTATTATTGAAATATTTTCATCTAATTTTTAATTTTTGTTTCATTTTTAATTAAAATACAATGATATGCCAGTTTCTTTTTTCATTTTAGTCAATTAATCAATTACTCAATTAGAAGTATTATTGTTACCAAATAAGCTTTATTAATTTTTTACTAATTAATTAATATTCATATTAATATGGGCGGAAATGTTGAAATGGAGGATTTTACTTTTATTAATAGTATAGATAGATTAATTTCATTTTGAAATCATTGGTTCACATATTTGAATTATTTTTTTTTCTTAATTATTCGCATTGTAAACATAAATGATATTGCAATAATTAATTTATGATATTTATCAAGTTGTATCTTTTTTAAAATATAAAATTTTCACATGTTTATGTGTTAAAAAAATTTTAAAATTATTTTTATTTTTAAAATTTTTTTCCAGCAACACAAACACTCCCTTAGTCTCCCATCAAAAACTGATAAAGAAAAATCATTTTATTAAGGAAATTAAAACTAATTAAATTAAATCTAATCATGCTATATTTATTTGTAACTGTATATTAATTTCATTTTAAAATCATTGATTCACATATTTGAATTATTTATTTTTTCTTTAATTATTCTCATTGTAAACATAAATGATATTGCAATAATTAATTTATGATATTTATCAAATTGTATCTTTTTTAAAAATATTAAATTTTCTCATGTTTAGGGGTTAAATAATATTTTAAAATTATTTTTATTAGTAATTATTTTTATTTTTAAAAGATGTTCCAGCAACCCAAACACTCCCTTAGTCACCCATCAAAAATTGATAAAGAAAAAAATCATTTCATTAAGAAAATTAAATCTAATCATGCTATACCAGGACTATGTGGTCTAATGGTACCTGGGTTGGACTTCCATTTGGAAGGTTGTAAGTTCAAGCACTGAGGCATTATTAGCTCTTTGTGTTTCAGTAGGTTGAGAAAGTATATGAACAGATACTACAATGTAATAGAGCTAGTAGCATTCATGCTATATTTATTTGTAACTGTATATTAATTTCATTTTGAAATCATTGGTTCACATATTTGAATTACTTTTTTTTCTTTAATTAATTATTATAAACAGAAATGATATTGTACTAATTAATTTATGATATTTATCAAATTGTTCCCAAAAAAAAAATTATAAGATCTGCACATGTTATGAGGGGTAAAAAATATTTTAAAATTATTTTTTATTAGTAAGTATTTTTATTTTTAAAATATTTTCCAGCAACTCACACCGTCTCCTTTCAAAAAGTGATAAAGAAAAGTCATTTCATTAATAAAATTAAAACTAATTAAAGTATATCTAATCATACTATATTTATTTGAAACTATATATTAATTTCATTTTGAAATCATTGGTTCACATATTTAAATTATTTATTTTTTCTTTAATTATTATAAACAGAAATGATATTGTACTAATTAATTTTTGATATTTATCAAATTGTATTTTTTAAAAATATAGTGTTTTACCCGTGCGTTCCACGAATTGTTTTTGTTATTATGAATTTAAAACAAAAAATATTAAAAAAAATGAAAAGATGTTAAAATGTACAATATAATAATATAATTGTACTATTATATATTTGGTCAAATATCTATTTTCATAACATACAAAATTAAAATTAAAATTTTGTATGTATAATATAATCTCTAATCATTTACATATTTAGATAAATATATAGAAAAAATTCACATAATTAAGTTGATTTATTTCTAATTATATTTCATATATTATAATTCTAAAGATATGAATAATAAATTAATAACTAAGAGAATTGTACTTAGACTTCAATAAAAAAAAAAATGTAAATTCCAAATTTTGAATGAATAAATTTAAACCCTAATTCAACGCATTTCCTTATATGATTGTATAATTTATTGTATATACACATAATATTTATTAATATGTATATATGAAAGTTCTATAATATAATTTCATTAATTATAATTTATAATTAAAAAATTACATTTAAAAATTTAAAAAGTAACATTTAAATTTTGTATGATTATTATAATTCATAAGTGTATGTATGTATATTTTAAAAATTAGAAATATTCATGTTTTGTTAATTTTATAATTTCATTTCTTTAATTATAATTCATATTTTATTAATTGTAATTTAATGGAATTGCCACAAATATTTCTATGGAAGAAATCTTATATTTTTCAATTTCATTAATTATATTAATTATAATTACCAAATATTGTGGCAATTACCATAATAATTTCATTAATTATATTAATTATAATATTTGTTCTAATCTCTTCCAATATTTAAATACATTACCATAATAATTACACAAAAGAATGAAAGAAAAATTATCAGAATAGTTACCTTTAATAAAAATAAGAAAATTATATTAAAAATTAATTATATATTAAGGTAAGTATAATTTATTTCATGCCAATAATATTATACATTAAGTATAAAAAAATATATATATGTATATAAATTACCATAATAATTACATAAAAAAAGGTAACAATACATAATTATTAATATTATACATTAAGTGTGTGTGTGTACTTTTAATTTTATATTGATTACTATAGTCTATGTATATACTTTAAGAAAATATTCATTATTAAAAAAGAATATAATTTTAAAAAATAAATTATTAATTAGATTACCTAATATAATTGTTTTACTAATTGATTCTATGCTACTATGTATAATTCATATATTTGAAAACTTTTTAAAGCTAGATACCTATTAATTGCTTTAATAATTAATATAATTGTTAGTCAAATCAATATCCAATAGTACTAAAAGTATTATTTCAAATTTTTATACATAAGATATAAAATTATTAAACCGAAATAATTAAAAATAATGTGTCCATATTACAAAAGATTTTATAATAGTAATTTTTATTGCCTAATAGAATTTTTCAATTATTAAATATTATTTATGATAATTATTGTATGACATTTAAATTATTAGGTAGAATTTTTATAATTAAGGTATAATATTATTAAATCAAAATTATTAAAAATAATGTATCCACGATATAAAATAAATTATACTTGTCTTAATAATCAATTTTTTTAATGCTACTAACTCTATTACATTGAATTAATATAAATTTATAATAATCATTTATTAATATAAATTTACAGTTATAAATTTGTATAAGGAAAACATAGAAACTTCTAGGAATAAATAAATAAATACATAAATAAAATCTCTCCATTTCATTTTTCTCTTTTGTCACTGTCACATTCCCACTCTCTTTAGAAAAAGACAAAGTAGGATGAGAAATGGCATCTATCTACAACGTCCTCACCCCTCAATTCGATTTAGCTGTTGCTTGATTGGTGTTTTGCCCAACGAACCATTTAAACTCTTAACGCTGCTTATTAAAAAAAATATAGAAACTTGAATGACATGTACAAATTTCAAAGTTAACATACTAACTCTAAGTTTCATAAAATATTACAAAATTATCAAAATCACTGTCATTATCATCCTCGATCGCATCTCTGCGCTCTTCCATAAAAACTAAACCATTAGGGTTCTGTTACCAAGCATCTTCCTCCTCAATTTCCTTTTGTTGAAGCAAAGCCTCCTTAAGTATCTTAAAGCTCATACCAGGCGATATAAACTGCAAAACATATTGAAGTATGGGGGAATATAGTTAGAAAAAGGTAGAAAATTAATACGAAAAGAAAGAAATGATGAGATGGAGAACTAAAAAAATGCTTTGAATTTTATTTTGGTTTTTAGTGTATTCTTATCATGCTTCCCTTTGTATCTGTTTACATATAAAGAGAATTCGTCCCTCTTCAAACTTTATCCACTTGATGAGCAAGGAACTCTATTACTTCCCGATCAATCTTTATAGATCCGTATCTTCTCCACAAAAACAAACAAACAAACAAACAAACAAAAATATATCAACATTTTGTCTTAGGAACCACTTTTCTTATTTAAAAATCGGAAAATACAAAGAAAAAAAAAACCAAAAAGAAAGAAAGAAAAATGAATCTAAGATAATGAAAACCTCACCTGTGCAAATCACGTATCAACCTCAACTGTGGAAGATCACAGGATAATTAGCAAAAGTCAATAAAATAATTAAGTTTAGTTGGGATTGTAGGTGAAGTTGATGGATTGTATATGATCATGTAAGGTGTATTTATACACAATAAATAAGATCAAAAGAACTTAGTATTAAAATTATAAAATGGTAAGAGATTTGAAGAAAGGTAAAAACTTTTAATTTCACACGGCATTCCATATACATATACTACACAGTAATTAGCACAGCATTCCATATGTACATATACTACACACTAATTAGCTTAATTAACAATAATCACCTTAATTACTACCTATTATATGAGTAACCTATACGTTAAGTACACTGTTCTAACCATCATTTCCCCTAATTATTTAATTAATAATATATTACTAATATAATTATTATTCCTAATGTATTTATTTGGAATTGTGTGTACCCAAGCTCAATACAATAAAATGGGTTAGGAAGATATCAGGTCAAACTTGTAGCTTAAAGAATATAATATAAATTAGGCAAAATAATTTATTTATTTAAGGTAGAAAATACTAATTTGTATTTATAGGTAGAAAATATTAATTCAAAAGGAAAGGATAAAAATTTATTTATTTAAGGTAATAACATTATTATTATTATTATTATTATTATTATTATTATTATTATTATATTACATAAATACCCCTAAGTTTTGGGGAGAAATTTTGGCTAGGAGAATTTTAGTTATATATATATATATATAGATATAGATTACTCAATCGAATAAGTCAAGTTTTATGCGAGAACATTTTATGTGAAATGTATATTTATTTTTAGTTAAAATATATTACATGTCATATGTAAAACATACATACATTTATTGATTATTTTTATCGAAAAATTATTTAGACTCCAAAATCTACTCCCAACTTTTTCCCTCATAATAAGTGTTTAAATAAATTTTATTAGAAGAAAAAAAAAATAAGTACCTGATAAATATCATGTTCCTCTTATATTAAGCAATCAAAACATGACACATGAGAGTATAGAATGTGAGTATTTGTAGAATACTTTGTTTTTAATTTAAAGTAAGTCATTATTTTTGACATCTTGAAATTTTCAATTTTTTTGAATATTACTGACTCTATTACAATGTAATATTTGTTCACAACTACTTTCTCAACCAAATAAAGCACAAAAAGTCAATACCGCATCTACTGCAACAACTTGGTACCATTGGACCACAAGGTCCTTAGTATTTTAAAATTTTCCTTCTTCTCCCAGAAGTTGAATCTCCAACCCAATGGCCCCACGCAGGCAAATTATTGTGTGGACCATGGTCCACACAATGTTACGTGGATTATAACAAAAAGTACAATTTTAAATTTTAATACACTAAATGTACATTAGTTTTGTACTGAATATACAATATACAATATAATGTACACTCAATACAAAAATAATGTACATCCCCTGAATACAATGTACATTATTTTTGTACTGAATGTACATTATTTTTGTATTGAATGTACATTATTTTACAGTATACAAAATATGGTCCACACAACTTGTATAGACCATGGTCCACACAATAATGATTGCCCCACGCAACCCAACTCGACGGAACATTTGAGAGAATGTTACAACGACTTAATAGTTCAACAGACCATGCTAAATGTCAGTGTATACAAAAAATCTATCCATTTTAAACATAATCCTCATATTATCGTCGCCAAGATTCAAACATTAATCTATCTCTCAAATATAATCTATTGAACCATTGAGTTAAGCTTGTACCTTGAAATTTTCCTTCAATGTGAACCGAGTGTGGAGTAATACTTTTCAAATGAAGTTAGAAGCGGGGCCCCATGAAACACATTGACTTTGCGGAGGATTCGAAGAAGCGAAGCGAGCAATGGCATATTGGCATATTGGCATATTGGCATGGTACAGTGTATACGGTTTACAGGTAAGCCATCCAGAAAATTAATGCACCGACGGTCCAACGGTCCGACGCGACGCCATTTCTTTATTGCAAAATTCATTACTACTTAAAAAATTCCAATTTTGAAAAATTCTTCCATGAACGCCTCCTCACAAATATAACAAACACAAACTACTACCCATCTTTACCCCTTCCTTCCAAGTTCAAAACCGCATTAAAAACCCCTCACCTCCCCCATCCTCCCTATCACACAACCCGCCGGCTCCGTGCCGCCACCACTATCTCTATCGGTTTTATGTAGCGCGCACGCGTTTATCCATCCATATCATAAAACTTGTTCTTTCGCCAATATTAGAAAGGGGGCGGGCGGTGGTATATATTTATTCGATCCAGTTAGATTGAGATGGCGTCTGTGGATCTGAAAGTGGATCTGAACGTGGATCAGCGGGAGGAATTGAAAGAGATATTCTCAAGATTCGACATGGATTCCGACGGGAGCTTAACCTTGTTAGAGCTCGCGGCTCTGCTGCGTTCACTAGGTCTGAAGCCGTCGGGAGACCAGATCCACGCGCTGTTAGCGAACATGGACGCCAACGGCAACGGCACCGTGGAGTTCGAGGAGCTGGTGGGGGCCATCTTACCCGACATGGACGACCAAATCCTGGTCAACCAACATCAGTTCCTCGAGGTGTTCCGTTCCTTTGACCGTGACGGTAACGGCTACATCACTCCGGCGGAGCTGGCGGGATCTATGGCCAAAATAGGGCAGCCGTTGTCTTACCGTGAGCTCACGGAGATGATCCGGGAGGCCGACACTGACGGTGACGGCGTTATCGACTTCACGGAATTCGCGGCTATTATGGCTAAGTCAGCTGCTGGGCATCTAGGACTCCCAGTTTCATAACCTTTTTGTCAAATTTGGGGAAGCCTTTTGTTTTGTTTTGTATACTACATAATAATACTAACCAAACTTTGGCTGCCAATCCTCACTTTCACCTTCTTAATCTCTACTATTATGGTTATGTTAATTATATCCAGTGGCTGTTCTGCTTGTGGTTCATCCTTTTTAAGCCATTTCAAATCATGTACTGTGTAATTGGGTTTCATCTATCAAGCTTGTGATGTGATTATATATAATACTATCCTGCTTGCAAATTGCAATCATATCCCCAGATTTAGATTGTCATTTAACTCCCTTGAAATCAAGATTTTGATCAAATTCTAAGAATAAAACCAGATGTTATGTTCTAGTGGAACGAAGTAGTTTTTTCAATTGGGAAGTCATGGGTTCGATCCCTCAGTAAAGGTGGTAACAACTCTTTGTGATTCAGCAGGTTGAGAAAGTATGTACAGATACTACATTATAATGGAGTCAATAGTGTACTAAAAAGAAAATGTAAAACTGTCATTACAGTCAAAAGGCAAAAATGAAATAAACTAGTTCGAAAAGTTTATGGCAGTCAGGAATAGGTAGTAGTATATATTGTATTCATCCATAGTGCTGATGAAGATTGAATAGCATTCACGACGGACCTTTTACTTTTTCACTGTCCTGTTAGGAGCAAGTTTGTAACTTGTAAGTCTAACCTGAAATTATAACTTCAAACATAAAATAAAATGCCATTTTTTTTTCTTATAAAATAGCGATAATAACCCACCGCCCACATCACTTGCAATCCACCACCCAAAATGGACTGATCTGCTGTTGAAGAGCAGATACTGCTATAGGACCTTCAATGGGGAACCCTCTGATCACACAGCACTCTGGCAATATAAACCCCACTTCCCCTACTCTTTATGTTTGTGTTTCGTCCTTCGGGATTCTCCACGTTCTTTCCCAGAATGATGATGAGAAGATCTGCTGCTGGGAGAGCCCCGCCTCCGATGCTTTGAGTGTCTCTTGCTACTACTTCTATGCCTTGATGATCGATTCTTTTCTCTTTTAGATTTTTCATGACCCCGATCTCTATAGTCGTCAGATGAATCACTATCTGAACTGTCACTTGTTCTCTGCCGATTATGCTTGCGTTTTCTACTTCTGTTTTCCTCTGACGAATTACTGCTCCAATCATCACGCTGACTAGCTTCAGATTTTGTGTTTATATCAGTTTGACCTTTTTCCTTTTGTGGAATATTTCTGTTCATGTCGCTCCCATAGTACCCAGAACTAACTGTTCGGCTATCATTCCTACGAGATATGAAATCCACTGTTCCTCCTCCTGACTTCAACCTATCCCCTTGAAGGATCTCCTGCAGATGAGGTTTATCCGGCATTGCTTCAACATTTCTAGCATTATCAGCAGAAGATGTTTTATTCCCAATGGCTCTTTCTGCATTGAAGGTCCCCTTGTCTGTAGTGCTAGCTTTGGTTTCTGGGAAAGGTACATCTGGGGGAACTTCTAGGCCTAACTCTTTACCCAATGATTCTAAGAAGTCACCAGCAATTATTCGATTTAGAGTTGTATTAGCAGCCTCAACCTTCTTCTCAGGATCCTTCGCTTGGGTGTGATTCATAATTTCCTCATCATCTGAATCATCAGAAAATATAGCCTAAAAAAGAAAAGAAAAGAAAAGCAATCAAATATTAGAATACTACTAGCCTTCATTTAGAATATAGAATAACAACAAAGCAAATGGAAAAACCAACTCAACAATATCTGCTCAGTAGATTAAGTATAGTCTAAACAATAAGGGCAGATTATCTGAAAATACAATTCTTTTTGTCAGGCCATGAGGTGTCTTGAGCAGACCCTAACTGTAGGAAGCACCTTTAAGTCCGTACCATACTCAGACTAATCCCCAATTGCATCGGGCCGGCCCAATTAAGGGGCAAAGTGCTGGCCAAATTGGTTTTTACATACGAGAGGGGGTTCGAACTCCCAACCTCTTTTAAGGGATGAGAGTGCTCTTAAGGGCAGATTATCTGAAAATACCATTGATATATTACCTTGTATAAGTCAACAGGCCTTTCAACATTTTCAACTTCTATCTCAGCCTCAATCTCTTTTTGAGTTCTTATTTCCTCTTGACTGGCCTCAGGAACAGAAAATAGTCTACTATCAGTAACAAACTCCTCCACCTTAGCACTTTTAACAGAATCTGTCATGAATATAAGAGAATCCATTTTACTCCTTGCACGTGGAGCTGGTGGTGGCTGCAGAAGATAATATAGAGCTTATCACAATTCATTAGACATAACACAGAAAAGCATATTACACTAAGTCAGAAAATAAGATTTTACAAATGTACCAAGTGTTGGACTAGACAAGTAATGTAGTGACGAAAATATATAAACACACATCCTCTCATCTTTCCAATTGGGATCAAGCCCAAACTACTAGCAGGACTGTGTATTAGTTTCTTAAAGCCAAAATTCAAACTTCACAAAATAATCCAAACAGTTTTATTCCTCCATAGGCTGCCTGCGCAACAGAGAAAGAGGGGGATTGTTCCTTATAGGCAAATTATATCGTGGACCAGGGTCCACCTTACATGGTGGACCTTGATCCAAAATGACGTCATTTTATATTAAGTGTCAAGTAGTACATCATATTTAATAACATCATTCAGTATTATGTTCATAATATTTGTTCTATCCATAAACCAAAACCTTTATGTCCATAAACACAAAACTAAATGTACATCATATTTATTTTCGTTCAGTTTATAGTATGTTTATAATGTTCCTTCTATATGTTCATAAAACCAAAGCTTAATGTACATAAACATTACACTAAAGTAATGGCTTTATATACCTAAGAATTTAAAAAATAAAAAATAAAAAATAAAATATATCAATATGGTGTCATTTAAAAGATATCAATTAGAGCTTTTTAATGATATATTTTTTTATACATTAACTATATTTGTACAAAAAGAAAAAGATAAAAATAAATTTAAGCTGAAAAAAATGTATAAGGAGAAAAAATAGGGGTGTGTTTGGGTGCATGTTGCTACATGCACCCTGGTCCACCATATAACTATTGTTCCCTATATTTCATATCATATTAATATATAAACAAGTTATGAACAAAATAATGAAAATATCGTTACCTTGCCCATGTAGGGGTCAATTAGATCAAAACGCTTGCACAGAATAGGTGAAGGACGCCACTGAAACTCTTCCCTTTTAGGATACAATTTCTTTTTAGTTAATTCCTCATCACGATCAACTTTAGTGTTCTGTGACAGAAATGAGATGTTAAGAATCACTGAGTTTGAACTGTAAACATTTCATTTTGCAAGCCTAGATACTGTAATGCATACCTCGACTGTGCTAGAAGTGAATCTGGACGCTGCTACAGCTAGTGTATCTGAAAACAACTCATTTGGGGGTTTGCTTTCTGTCCCCCATTTCCCTTTCTGTATAGCCTCAGCGACAGCCTCAAATTCTAACCTTTCACGAGCACGAGCCGCTTCTGACAATGTACTAGATCCTCCTGAATCTTTAGGGCGAAGACCTCCTTGATATTTCTCCTTCAAGAACTGTTCAAATCTTTCTTGTTTTGCAGGATCATCTCGGAAAGGTTTTCCAGCTTCAGGCATCTCAGTCTAGAGATGATATTAAGAATCAATAATCTAGAACCTAACATTCTTTGGATGTTGAAACAATGCTATGAAAAGCAAAACCTTCTAAAGCAGTGAAGATCAAACCCAGAAAAAACAAGGCTAAAGAACTCAAGCTTACTAGGTGCAGCACATTAAAATTCATCAATCCATCCCAAATTTGTTTTCCGGTTTACTGTAGATATAGATTTTACAAGGCGTTTGGTTGGAAGGAGGGAATTAGGGGGGAAAGGAATTGTAATTCCGTGGGAAAAGAATAAGGTGGGAATTCAAATTACATTGTTTGGTAGGCAGGAAAAGAAATACTGGGAATTGAAAGGGAAGAAGTGAATAAAGACTAAAATGCCCTTGTATAATAATACAGAGTAATATAAATAATAAGGGCAAAATAGTAATTCATTGTTGAATTACAATTCCACAAGCTATGGAATTGCAATTCCATGGTTGGAGAGTTGGAGGGAATTGCAATTCCAAACCAAACCATGGAATATAAATTCCATGGAGTTTGGTAAGAATGGAGTTAAGGAAACGGAGAAGAGTACATGATGTATTCTATTGCCAATGAAAAGGAACGACGCATATGATGACATTACATAAAGTACAATTTTCGTAATGAATTCAAAAGGATAATATAGGAAATTAGAACTGCTTTTGGCACTTGTTTAGGAAATTGGACAACATTTTGTGACATACTAAAAAGGAGCTCTGAACAACCTTTTTGGTGTCTATTTAATCAAGTACTGTCTATTAATAAGCTGAATTCATTTATTCAAACTTAGAACAACTAAAAACAATTTAGTCAAAAAGGGGAGAAGTGAGGAAGTTTGCAGATGCAATGTCTTGAGGCTTCATATTTCAAACTAAATCAAATGTCAGTTTTTTATGCATTTTAAAAGCATAGATAACACTGCTAAAGTAAATCATAGGTAAAAAAGAACATGAGTACATGACACTGTTGTTCATCCTGAAACTTTATCTGGAAACCAGTTCAATCATACAATTCAACACAATCTTGACATGTACTACAATCCAGTTAATATAGTGTTGAGGTGGTATGGAATATATCATGTTTTGAAGATTTAATAAAACAGAATGGACAATTATTGCCAGACAGTAATGGAAGGATGCCAGTGGAATAACTAGACATGTGATAAACCTTAACCTGCCTGCATGGGTTTGGCTGGTGAAAACATTTTTTTTTTAAATTAAATTTTAAAAAAATGGAGAGAGCCAGTTTCAATTTGGATAAGAGTCAAGGTTAGAAACCAGGACAAGAATTTATTTTTGGTCCAATACTCCAATGCTATATTGCTTAGGTTATAGAAAAGGCAACATTTTTATTAGAAGCTCTCTTAGAATCAAATCAGTGAACAATTAGAACACCAAAGCTCCCAAGAGGGTTGGACAGCTGTTCACAAGTCATAGCTACATTTTGATGCAGATAAAATGAAAAGGCTGCAGAAGATGTGTTATGTGTGCAGGTGAGAAGAAATTATCTGCTCACAATGCCATGCAGTTTTGAGTTCCAAACATTTACAGGCACAAAGGGTTCTTTTTCATTTGGAGAGCCTGTCATGTGATACAAACAATCTCAGGAGGCAGTTCCTCTGTGCTTGATGTGGTTTTTGCAAAAAGAAACATACATGGTCTTTCTCCAAGAGATTAGTATAGATGTTGAGGGTCTAGTATTGACATTTGAGAGTTTTATTCTTTTCATGTAAAGAAAAGTTGGTACAAGGCATAGGGGAGTTTATGAATCTATCAAACTATTTCCAATTGACATGCATGTATATATTTGCAAACAGAAAGATGATGCTACCTTATCAAAAGAATCTAGTATAAGATTCACCATGTTAGAATATCAACCTAGAAGTTGGGTAAAGAGATATTTGAAAGTACTCACCATTGGGGAAGACTTAGTAAATGTTTCCTTGAGACTGGACTGGAAATTGATGGCATCAGCAGGAGTTACAGTGGAGCTCGCCTCTCTCAAGCTTCTTTCTAGAGGCTTCTCCCCTAAAATTTTTCCACGGCTCTCTGCTGTCATCTGAGAATTTTGTTGTATTTTGCCTTCCAAATGCTTTCCTGTTTGACCAGTATGCTTCTGTCTCTCCTCCCAAAGTCTCCTTGAATAATATTCATGGCCACTCCCTCCAGTAAGGAAACCAAACAAAGGGTTTGACTGATTTTTTTCCCGAGAAAGATCCTCAAATAGTTTACCAGCACGAGCTACTAAACTTGCTAAACCTTCAATTAAGATTCTAAGGTTCTTATCCTCTGGAGGTGGAACCTCTGGGGGTGGAGATTCAGCAACTCTACTGTTGACTTCAAGAGGAGCTGTAAACTTGTGAAAGGGGACAAAATCTTTTGGAACCACTGGAGGATCAAATCTGACATTTTAATAATATATTTCTTTTAGCACCAAAGAAATGGAATGTATGCAATTTCAGTGTCTGAACAAAAAATATATAACCTACAATACCAAATCAAGAATTGAAATATATTCTATGTACAACTACAAAATGAAATAGTGCTCTTTAGACAAACTCATAATGGATGGCTCTTGGCAATAAGATGAATTCTTATATTAGTCAGCCAAAACAGAAATCACTCAGCTCTTACATGCAAAAAAAGTTGATAGCTGAGCCACATGGTAATTCAACCTCCTATGTTATTATTACATCTGTTTTATTTCTTTAATGTTTACTTCCATAGTACCATTACAAGCACTTTTCAATGCATGGCGTCTTGCTCAGGTTAAATTCATCAGGATAGTAACAACTTTTGGGCTTGAAGACCAGAAGAAACAAATACTTATTGATTTGAGTAGAATTCTTGACATTACTCTTAAGTTCAATTTCTAGGGATGAAATCATACTTGTATTCAATTTTTTATTTGCATGTAGCTATTGCAATGAAGAACAATATAAATTTTCCCCCAGGAGGGGCTGCCAATGAACTTTGTCTCAATGAAGGCAAATGGATAATTACCTTTCTAATTGATATTCAGAATTCGAGGCAGCCTTAAAACCAGGCAGAACATCATGTTTTTTATTATCCAACATCTTTACATTCTCCTTTGTTGGTAATGGAGGCTCCTCAACTTCTTCAACATATGAACCTTCGATTTCAAAACCTGATTAAAAGCATTAATTAGACAAAGTAACTCTCTCAATGAGTATGAAACCCCTCCAAATGATGCACCAGGTAGAAGCACAGACAATCTTTAATAGTGTACACCATGTGGACCATACCAGTCAATGACATTTTCAATGAACAAGAGAAGCAACATCTCGATAAATCCATATCATAGAACACTCTAAAATTGCAGATAGACCAGAAAAGGTTATTTTTTAGGACACATCAAACCTACTGCCTAACCAAGCAAAAATATACTCCGTATTACAGTGCATATCACACCTAATGCCTATAAATTTTAGTTAGAAAACCCATTTATTCTCACTCTGATGAGTACCCAGACTGTCAGTCACCTAAGAAACCTAGAAAATGGTCCATCATTTTATTCAGTTAAGTTCATCAATATGGACTGCCAAATATCACTGGCTAACATCCTGTAGAAATTTTTAGCCATGTAAATATGGAAACTGTAATACTTCAACTAAGGCAAGAATCATTAAAATGGGAATGGTTCTCTAGAATAAAAATCAGGAGTCTTCCACGTGCACAGCTATGAAATCTTAAGAAAGGAGTAAATAAGGTAGCATTGTCTACCAATGGTTAAAATAATATACTCAGGACTTAGCTCCACATGCACAGCATGTGCACACATTGAAGAAGAATAAACCAACCTGAGGTATACACATCTTCATCTTCAACATCCAATTCCTCAAGAGCCCCAATTCCAAAGCCAGGAGCAACCCTTCCAGCTGATATATTTAAGCTAGCAAGTTATAGAGGCAAAACAAGGAAAAAGGATAGCACATGCTAATATGCAAGCACACAATTACTCATGAAAATCTTACATTTAAAACCAAAGAGACTATCCTTCATTGAGAGGGGCCCTTGACGTCCAATGTCCTTCTTCCCAGATACACGTGACCTCTTCTTTTCTAAACATAAAACAATCAAACAAGGTGCAGACAAATTATAAGCAAATGTTCTAAGATTAAAGATATTTACCAAATAAAAGAAGTACCTCTAAATTCAGGAGCATGTTTGAATGGATCATAGCCTAAGCCATGCAGGTCTTGTTTTGGACTAAGAACAAAATTCTACACAATGAAAAGGAGCGGATGAGGACAGCCTTCAGTATATCATTACTGATATCAATTCGTGTGGGTGGGTGGGGAGGGGAGGGAAGGGGGTGCAGGGAAGGAGGGAATAGTAATATGCATGATGTAAAACTAACAACCATAATTGTTTTAGTGTGACAGAAATAAGGAATCATCTAAAGCAGAAACAAGAAGAGATATTCTACATAATCATTGACTCATTGTTTGTGACCAAGAAGAAAGGAACTTTTGGTTTCATTTTCCCCTTCTTTGTAAGGAGCAAGCAGGTAACTATCTTCAAGCTTATATACAGCTATGAGAAATCATGGAGGATTAAATAAAGAATTCTTGGAACAACAGAATGATAACTAGCAAGTCATATAAATTTCCTTTATCCATAATACAATGTTAAAGAAAATTAAGACCAAATCTACCAACTATTATCCAATAATAAGAGTAACAAAAGTTATGCCTCTATAAATGGGCAGTAAAAGTTGACATAGAAAATACAAAGTAAAACATTAATTTAAGACGGGGTAGACGCACCGGTGTGCTCTTAAAGAACTGACTATCATCATCAGCTGGCAGATCAATGGGATGGATATCATGTTCAAACTGTTCAGAACCCACATGTTGACCTTTTGCATCATTAGAGGAAAGTGCCAAAAAGGCTTTCCTTGCTACTCTGCGAGCCTCTGAAGAAAGAACCAAAAGAGAGACAAGTTGCATTCAATAGATCATCCAATGAAACATCACTTATTAGAAGTTGAGCCTAAAGAGAATCAAATCAATTCCACAATTTTCATTTCACAGTCAAGAAAATTTAGGGCTCGGATCACTGAGAAATAAATTCCAGAATCTGTTTTTCAGTAAAAAGATAGAGAATGAGAGGGAGAGAGAGAGAGAGAGATGAGTTTTATTGGATAGTAAATGAGTAAATCCTATACAACATCAATTAGTATTTAGTAGAAGTAGAGTCTAGAGACAATTAAAACAGGTCCACAACTTTGAACTTTGATTTCATCGACAGGAAAATTCAATCTTGTCACTTGAAGAAATTTTAAAATTTTAAAAATATATATATATTTTACAAAAATAAAAAATAAAGGGGAAAATCATTTAACTGCCAAGAACCAAATTTGTAAATCAATTATCATTGGGAATGTCAAAGAAATTGTGTATTTAACCTAGAAATTTGTATTCCATACATATGAGAGGGAAGACAATTTATCACTTTATCATCCAAAGAACAAATATGCTACCTTTTGGTAGAAACCAGAGATAGCATTTGCATCTGGCTGTTAATCAGGGACCAATTTGACTATTCTCTTATAACTTAAGGACAAAAAATGTTTTCCCCTTAGGCCCTTACATATAAGCCTATAAGGAATACAAATTTGCTTTGAAATTCCGAATTATAATGTCTTTTCTTTTTCTAGGTTACTTTCATTTGTAAGCTTGTAATTATTTGAACCAGTGCTACACTGTACCACCAACCAAAATGGCACCTTGTACAGCAAGTTATATATGATTATGCTCACGCAAACATCTAAGAGCTAACCTCAACACAAACAAAGGCAGGGCTTGCAGGTAGGAGTGTAGACATACCATAGAGTGAATCAGCATTCGAGTCCTTGACTGAACGACCATGCCGCCATCCCATCTTCAGCAGCAACTTTGCTCCTGGTCAGGAATAGAAAAATGCTTATTAAAGACAAATAACAAACACACATGCAGACAAGGTAATAAAAGGGTAAGTAGAAATGGAATAATTTCCACAATACAACCAAAACACACCAATGGACTCAGGTGCTGAAACTACTAGCTCATCAGGAACAGGTCCGGGAATAACTGATGGCCTGCAACATACAATTTGATGATCAGACATTAAAAGAAAAAAGCAATAGAATGAATTTCCAGGGAGTAAAAAAGAAGAATAAATAGAAAATCAATAGGCATGATCTTAGATGAAAGCAAGTTCCGATCCACTGCAAATTCATGAAAGTATTCACATGCCAAAGGCAGAGAAAAATGCATTCCGAGTTTCAGATTATGGCAGTAGTTAAAAATAAACTAAATTTTGAATGAGAAAATTCCCCTACACTGAAATAATTAAATCAGATTGCACTTCCCAAAATAAGAGAACAGACTTCATATAAAATGCTTAAGAAACCATGAAAATAAAACATGCTCAAAATTGAGATCGAATTCCTCAGAACATGGTATAATGTTTAGTGACTAATGATAGCTGATCAAACTATGTATACATATCAAACAGTTTCCTTCGTATGGATAAATATATTCAAACAAATCTACTAAATCTAATAATTTGATATATATACACACACATGACATATAAAATAAATTTGTTTGATATGAGATAGCATGTGCAACCTCTGCTTTTGCTCCTGTTCAGCTTGTTTACGAGCACGTTCAGCAGCAGTAAATCCAAATGTATCGTACTGTGACGAAGTCCCAAGGTGGCCCTCCATTTCCTATCAAATTATTTATATTAAAAACATAAATACTCCGTAAAAGAATAACTCATTCAACTTGCTTTAGAGAACCAGGAATGCTAAAATAAGAAAACATACATCTTTCTCATCATCATCCAAAAAGTTATAAATACTCTGCTGCTTGATTTCAGCTCTGCTTTTCCGAGACGATGTAAATGACTGTGGAGTCCATCCTATGCCATGGTGATAAAACACCAAATAAAAGTAATGTCAAGGCATAAAATATGAACCAAACTAATAATTATAAAACAAACTACCTTCTTTTGAGCCAACTGTATTGTAATATCCTGCAGAATAACCACCAGTAAATGCACCATGAAATCTCCTTCTACCCTCTTCATCCGTGACCTGGAATTCAAAAATTATCAGCATTAAAGAGGACAAAACTCTTGCTCATTTCTAAATACAACAAGGCATGTGAACAAAAGAAGATAGAAACAAATATGGTGGTTCTAAAAGAAACTAAACAAAAGATATAAGAAATTTTGAGTAGCATATACAGGTTTAGAAGCAGCCATAAAAATCCAAGGTGCGCAGGATCGAAAACTCTCTTAACAGCTCAGAAGCCACAAATTCCTTTAAAGTCATCACTAGATCATTCAAATTATATCAAATTGTTCAGTTCAAGCAGCACGCAATCTTCAGAGCTAATATTTAGCCACCGGTGATGGCATTGAGATTTCTACTCGATACGAACTTGACGAAAACAAACATCCACTCAATAATACATATATAAGAAACATTTAATAGATTAACTTATTCAATGATGTAATATACTGAGCTCTCACAATACGCAATTTCACAAACACATAGGATCCTACTCCTCCCAAGACCTCAGTAGAGTTTGCGCATACACAGCTTATATGAGTGCCTTTGGTGGAATTACCTCTTGCTTCCAAACTGGAAGGCTGCGCAATTGGCCGGAGGCCTCAGCGACGGCCTTCTTCTTCCGGCTGGAGACGTCTTCCTCTCGCTCTATAGGCTTTCCGAAGAAGACGAAATCCTCCTCGTCGCTGTCCATTCCCAATCCCTACCTGATTAATATCTCCTTGCAAGTTTCTTGAGAAAACTGAAATCGAAATCTCTGCTACGCGAAATAAATTTTACAGGCAATTTCACAAGTGGCGCGCCGTAACTGTTTGACAAATTAGCTGCGGAACTTGGATCATTAGCTCCTCAACTCCAAGGAAACGAGAAAGAGCGCAAGGAGCCATTGGGGGGCAAAAATGCGAAACTAAGGGCGTAACGGGAAGGTCATCAATCTTAATACAGTAGAGTGGACCATGGTGTTGTAACCATGGTCCAAAACGGGGTCATTTTTTTTTTTTTAATGAAAATAAATGATAATTGTTGTGTTATATGATGTGCTTAATTTTTTTTTTTAATGATATTGTAATGAAATTACAATGTTTATAAATGGTAGGAAATATCCCGACCGACATAAGCTCTACCTCGACCGAGTTGTCTTTGTTCTTTTCTTCTTTGTCTTTGCAGGTGACAGGTCGGGCTTCATGCGAAGAACTCGGTCGGGGTCCGACCGGGAGTTGCCCGAGTGATGGTGTCGACCACCGAGCGGTAGCCCTTTGGCAGGAGAGCTGGTACAGGACACGTGGCGGCTCTCTACGACGACAGGCAGGGCACCTGGGAGGATGACACGTGGTGGCTACGTGGAGAACATGCCGAACGACCGGAGTCATGTCTCCAGGCACAGCGGCTATAAATACCCACAGTAGCTACAGTGTAGAGGACTTTTTTGGACGATCGATAGGTTGTTGTTAGAGAATCCCGACCGGGGTCGGCACTCAGAGCAACCAAGTAGATTGTACTTAGGGCCTTTACCGTGATCAATAAAGACATTTATTCGCTTTGATTGGTCTCGGGTTTATTCTATATTGCTTACGTATAATTAGCAGTATCATTTTGGCGCCGTCTGTGGGGACCCGTGCGAGAAAGCAACGTCTTGACGAGCACTCGCTCCCTCTCCAATCATGTATCCGTGGGCTCAAAACAACTTCGCCGACGATCAGGCGGACGCAGCGAGCTCATCTGGGCACCATGCCACCCAACAGCAAGGTCAGACGGTAGAATTGAATCTCAATCTTTCACCACCGCATCCGTCTAACACATACCCGGTCGCACAATAACCGGTGAACTACATACAACCGGGATACCAAACACCCGGTCAGCAATATCAGCAGCAGCCGGTGATGTATCCCGGCCAATATCCATACCCGGTTCCACCTCCACCGTACGGGTATTGGCCTGGCCAACCGATGTACTACACTCCCCCGGTTGGTTATCCACCATATACGCCTGCTTACATAGCTCCAGCCGCCGCCCCTCCAGTACAACCGACCGCACAGGTAGAGCCGCAGCGTCAGTCCGCTTCCCGGGCTCGACGCTCGGCTCATTCGCGGTTGGGGTCGGGGGGTGCTGATGCGATGGAGGCACCAGGGCAGGCAGAGCAAGCGGTCGAGGTTCCCGTCCAAGCGGAGGACCCCGAAGAAACTGCCCGAGCGGCAGCTTTTGGTCGTCTTCGACCGGAGATGCGTCAGCGTTTGGGACCCCAAGACCCGAACCGCGGGCAAGGAGACGTGCAGATGCAGGAGGCTAGCCAGGAGGCCTCATCTGGGTATAGTGGGTCGAGATCTCACCGACGGCGACGCGCTCGGGATACAGCCCAAGCTGCTCAAGCCGCAGAGCTCAACGAGACCCGAGGATTACTCTATAACCTCCAGGCGGAATTTGCGCAATTCAGAAACGCGCACCCTGCAGCAACCCCGGTTGGACAACCGACCCTGCACCAGACGCCTTTCACAGCAGCGGTAATGGCTCAGCCTTACCCGTTTGACTTAAAGGTCTCTGGAGAGAAGAGTTATGATGGCCGGATAGACCCTGAGGCCCATGTCAACGATTTCCACAGCAATATGACGCTGAAGGGTGTGTCAGACGCCGTAATGTGCAGGGCTTTCTATTCCACGCTTACCGGTCGAGCGGCAGAATGGTTCCGAACTTTGCAGCCGGGATCGATCGACAGGTTTGACACCCTGGCGGTCAAGTTTGTGAGGAAGTTTATCACTTCCAAAGTGGTGAGGAAATCCTACATGTATCTGGAGAAGGCCAAGCAACTCGAAGGCGAGAGCTTGACCGACTTCCTCACCAAATGGAAGGCGGCGGTCGGGGAGGTCGAGCCCATGGATGATGCCACCGCCACTCATATGTTGCACATTTCTCTCCGGGCGGGATACTTGTATCAGGATTTCATTCTACACCCCCCGGCCACGTATGAGGAGGCCCTTCGAAGGGTCACAGATTATGCCAATGCTGGCGAGGCGAACGCCGTAAAGCGCTCGCAGGAGGTCGGGTCTTCATCCCGTAAACCGGCCGGCCGGGCGGAACACCGATCGGGGGATGACCATCCCCGATCCCGCACCAGGACTGGTGAGTTCACGGCCTTGAACCGATCGGCAGCAGAGGCCATGCAGTATGCCCAGTCTTGCAACCTCATCAAGCTACCCCATCCCGATCGAGATGGTCCAGACAAGAGTAAGCATTGCGCTTACCACCGATGTGCTGGGCATGACACTGAAGAGTGTACCCATTTGCTCCAACTGTTGGAAGATTTGCTCAATCTAGGGAAGTTAGACAAATGTGTGGGGAGGAGAGAGGACCCCAAGAGGAATACCGATCGGAGAGAACAGCGGCGCTCTCATCACCGCTCCGATCGGTCAGGTCAGGACCGAAGAGACGATCGAAGAGATGATCGTCGCGATGACCGACGGGACCCTGACCCTCCGTCTAGCAGCCGACCAGCAGGAAAGCCGACCATCCACGTTATTTTCGGTGGATTGGAAGACGTTTCCCGACCGCGGAGTAATTGCCCGGTCGCCATAGTGGACTCCCGGGAGACTGGGAAGAGGCAAAAGATGGAGCCCATAACCTTCACCCTCGAAGATCAACCCAGCAGCGGTGACCACGGCATGGAGGCGCTCGTGGTCACAATTGATGTGAAAGGGACGGATGTCCAGAGGGTTATGGTTGACACTGGCAGCAGTGTAAACGTCCTTTATTTGGACGTGTTTGAAAAGCTTGGACTAGACAGGAAGGAGCTGACTCCGGTCGGTGTACCAGTGTCTGGCTTTACCGGGGCTCTCATTTACCCCGAAGGAAAGATAACGCTCCCGGTCGAGATCGGCACAGCCCCGAAGTCGATCAAGACGGAGTTAGAGTTCGTTGTGGTCAACCTCCATTGCGTCCACAACATTATCTTGGGCCGACCCGCCATTATGAAGATCGGTGGGATAATTTCAATGCCTCACCTATGCATGAAATTCCCCACCCCCAATGGGGTCGGTGTGGTTCGTGGCGACGTCCAATCCGCCCGGAAGTGCTACACCCGAGCGGTCAACAGACGCGACTCCGGTCCGTCTGCCCGGGTGAACACCATAGCCAAGGAGGAGGCTAAGGATCGGAAGGAACAACCTGAGCCTTCCGAAGAGATAGAAGAAGTTCCCCTATCCGAGGACCGACCGGATAGGAAGATTAAGATTGGCCGGGCCCTCACCCCCGAGCTTCGAGCGGAAATTTTGGCTATACTCCGGGAGTATGCTGATATCTTTGCATGGGTGCCCGAAGACATGCCCGGGATCGACCGATCGGTGATCTGTCATAAGCTAGCCGTCGATCCCACAGCAAAGCCGGTCGTGCAAAAGACCAGGCACCTTTCCTCCGATCGCCGTGAATTTGTTAGAGAAGAAGTTAAGAAGATGGCGGCGATCGAGCACATCCGACCGGTGATCTATCCCGAGTGGGTGGCCAATATTGTTCTCGTTCCTAAGCCCCCAGCTTGGAGGATGTGCATCGATTTTACCGACTTCAACAAGGCTTGTCCGCTCGACCCGTATCCATTACCGAGTATCCACCAGATGGTCGACGAGACGGCCGGGGCCGAATTAATGAGCTTCATGGATGCATTCAAGGGATATCATCAGATCATGATACACCATGAGGACGAAAGCAAGACAGCCTTCGTGACCCCGGACGGGCTGTATTGCTACCGAGTGATGCCGTTCGGCCTCCGAAACGCGGGAGCGACCTACCAGAGGATGGTCAATATGCTCTTTGCCGATTTGCTGGGCCGAACGATGGAAGCTTACATTGATGATATGCTGGTCAAGAGTCGGGACCGATCCGACTACACTCGGGACCTCCGGGAGTGCTTCCAGATCATGAGGAAGTACCAGTTGCGGCTGAACCCGACCAAGTGCACATTTGCGGTTCAGACCGGCAAATTCCTCGGCTATATGATGACCAAGAGAGGAATTGAGCCCAACCCGGCCAAAGTGAAAGCGATTCTGGACATGCAACCACCCTCCACCGTTCGGGAAGTCCAGCAATTGACCGGTCGGTTGGCAGCCCTCAGTCGGTTTCTCTCCAAGCTAGCCGAGCGCGCTTTACCTTTCTTCAAGGTATTGCGAAAGGTTAATGGTTTCGTCTGGGATGAGGAGTGCCGAGCGGCTTTTGATGAGCTGAAGGAGTATCTCATGTCACCAATCGTACTCTCAAAGCCCGAGCTCGGAGAAGAGCTAGACGTGTACCTCGCCGTCTCCGATCGTGCAGTAAGCGCAGTGTTGTGCCGAACTGATCTGGAAGGGGTCCAGCGACCGGTGTACTATGTAAGCCACGCGCTACATGGTCCCGAGCTCCGGTACTCCCGGCTAGAGAAGGTCGTCTACGCCTTATACATTGCCGCGAAGAAGTTGGCTCCCTATTTCCAAGGTCGAGCGATTCGCGTATTGACCGATCAGCCGATCGGGCCAGTCCTCCGAACTGCTTCGTCTTCCGGTCGCCTAGTGAAGTGGGCGTTGATGTTGACCCAGTACGCGATTGAATACTGACCAAGACCAGCCATCAAGGGTCAAGCTTTAGCTGATTTCTTGGTCGAGTGCACCGCCCGGGATACCCGACCCCCCGAGATCGCGGATCCTGAGGCTGAGTGGTGGTCGTTGGCTACTGACGGGTCGAGTAGCAAGAAAGGAGCAGGAGGAGGAGTGGTGGTCACAAGCCCGGAGGGATTCAAAGTTTATTTTGCTCTCATGTATCAGTTCCACCCGACCAATAATGAAGCCGAATACGAAGCATTTGTTAATGGCTTACAGTGTGCTCGGGACTTGGGGGCTGAATACATTCGGGCTCAAACAGATTCTGCACTCGTGGTTGGGCAGGTCCTTGGAGATTATGAAGTCAATGGGGAGCGTCTGCAGTTATACCGAGACCTAGCCCTGGAGAAGCTTGCTCAGTTCCGGGGGTATACCGTCCGGCATATACCCCGATTGGATAACGCCGATGCAGATATCTTGTCTAAATTGACTCAAGACGCCCCGGAACACATGTCGAGGATAGCTCGGATTTTGGTGATCCCGAGACATAGCATCCATCGCTTACCGGTCAATCCAATCCAGCCGGTAGAAGATAATTGGATCACCGATCTGAAGGAATTCCTCGAGCACGGTCGACTCCCCGACGATCCCCAGCGTGCTCGGAAGGCCAAGCTTAGGGCCCCGAGGTTCCAAGTCTTGGACGGTCGCCTCTACAGGCGATCGTACGGAGGTCCTCTTATGCGTTGCTTGACCGCATTTGAGGCCGATTTAGTCATGAAGGAATTGCACTCGGGAATCTGTTCTTCACATCAAGGAGGCCGATCGTTAGCCCGTCGTATCATGCTGATCGGGTACTATTGGTCGTCCCTCTAGCTAGACTGTGAAAAGTTAGCTCGGGAGTGTGAGACGTGCCAACTGTTTGCCCGGATGCCTGGACGACCGGCAACCTTCTATCAGCCAGTCACGACTGCAATTCCCTTCGCTAGGTGGGGGGTAGAAATCTTGGGCCCTTTCCCTCAGCTCTCCGGTCGGAGAAAGTTCGTGATTGTCGCCATCGATTACTTCTCCAAGTGGATAGAAGCCGAGCCCTTAGCCACGATCACTTCTCAGCAATGTGCTCGTTTTCTTTGGCGCAATGTGGTTTCCTGCTTTGGTGTGCCCGTGCATCTCATCAGCGACAACGGCCGCCAATTCGTAAGCCAATATTTCCAGAGCTTCTTGGCCACGATCGGGACGACTCACGTCCGGTCGTCGGTGGCTTACCCGCAGGGAAACGGACAAGTGGAGAACGCTAACCGGACGATTTTGGAAGGTCTAAAAAAGAAGTTACACTCGGCTGGTCGTAGTTGGGCCGATGAGTTGCCATATGTCTTGTGGACTTATCGGACGACCCCGAGGGAAGCTACCTTGGAGACCCCTTTCGCCCTGGTTTATGGAGCGGAAGCCCGACTCCCGATCGAGGCTTGGATCCCGACCGATCGAGAGAGAACCTACAATGCGGAGGAAAATGAACATGCGATGGTCGTGGATCTCGACGGGGTCGAAGAAAAAAAAGAGCTAGCCGCTCGGCGTATGGCCGAGTACCAGAAGCGGGTCAAGAGTTCGAAAGATGTTCGGGTCAACCCTCGTTACTTTCAGGTGGGAGATTACGTTCTACGACGAAGGGAGGCCAGTCAACCTTTGGAGGGCGGAAAGCTAGCTCAAAATTGGGAAGGGCCGTACATCATCAGCGCCATCATACGGCCAGGCACGTACCGACTGGAGACAACAACTGGTCGGGTAATTAAGGGGACTTGGAATGCCGAGCACCTCGTTATGTTTAGGCATTAGCCTATTTATTCTAATATTTGGACGAAGGGGGGGGGGGGGGGGCTTGACCTGCGAGTTAGTCCCGGTCGTCATTTGTAATTACGTATTATGATTGTAAATACTCATTTAACCGCCTGCGAGCGGGAAGGTTTAATGTATATACGATCAGTGATTGCTCGACCGCTTGCATGCGGCGGCCCGGTCGGTTATTCTCTTTACCTTCAGTGCACGCAGATCAATTCATCTTCAAGTTACATCGACCGGGCGAATCTATCGACCGGTCAAATGCGCTCCACATCGGCGGACATTCGAGTCACGCCACTAATCGGGGAAGCCAGGAGCTCTCAGCACAATTCCCCGATCCGTCCAACTTCTTTCACTATCGCACCCACTTGTGCCTCGAGCGCACAATAGTGTGGGGGCTGGGATGAAGGATGAAGGAAGTATCTGTAAGCCCGTCGCTCGGATATATCCTGACCGTGGAGGCTTACCTATTTTTCAAAAATTTCGTCAAGGCCTAGAGATCGGGTAAACTCGATCGGGTTGGCCAGTTTCACGACGGAACCTCAGACGCACGACCGGGCCATAAGGCCTTAAGGTTGGGCGTCAACGGGGTCGAGTACTGCGAGACCGGGCCAGATGGCCGTGAGGTCGGGGGTCTACGATGAGGTTGAGAGTATATGATTGGAGTGCGCACGATTGGGAACGAAAATATAAAACGAAAATATAAAACGAAAGGCACTTGGATCGAAACAGAAGATTGTTATTAATTAAAAAGTGCCCGGTAAAACTCGGGACCGGGCTCCCGATTAAACCTTTACAAAAAAAAAGAAAAGAAGATGAAACCGGTAGCCTTCACTTCTTTGCGGCTTCGGCAGCGGTCGGGTCAGAAGGCTTCTCAACAGCAGCAGCCCCGCTCGGGCCAACGATCTCGATCTCCGGATCGTAGGGGTCCAGCCCGGGGTCGGGGACTTCAGTCGGGAGGGTGGTCAGAACCAGCTCGAGGTCTTCGCCTTCAAGGGCCTCCCTCATGTTAGCCTCCGTTCGTTCCCTCATGTCCCTTTGGCCGCTGTTGTAGGCCCAGTGACCGAAGGACCAGAAAAGCTCATCCGCGACGGCATTCTTTCGCATCTCCCGAACGAAAGCCATCCCGGGCTCAACCTCCCGGAAGAAGTGCTCGATTGCGGCAGTCGGGTCTGTGCTTC